TACCGCCTCAAGTCGTCCAAAATCGTCCGCAATTCCTGAAAACATGTTCCAGCCGAGCCCGCAATTGTACAGCAGAAAACATCATCATGACGTCAAAGGCTAAACAAACTCATGCTTTGCTTTGTCACAACTCTCTTCATTCGCTGCACAGAGAATCACACATATTACTTTTTTGAGAACTGTTTCGTTGTCAGTCGTGAAATGTCGACTTTGTCTGACGATGAATTGTCCCAGAAGTCATCTGAAGCTTCTGTGGATAGTTTTTCGCTGACAAACGATGCATTTTTGCCAGGCGAATAAAAATAAACACATAACGGCTTGGACTCCCAATGTGGCTTTTGTAGTCGCATCGCTTTATCGCCTTCGAACTGTATTTTTGCTTGTCGTAAGGAATTTTCCTTTTTGTAACAAATGATTGGGTGATTAATAACAATAGTTTTCGGCAATGGCTGATTGTGTATCTGAAGGCGGATATTGGGAGTTTGTGAATGTTTCATAATCAGCAATGCACGCCGCCATTTAGATTTATCACAAAAGAAATCATTGCTAATTAGTGTATATTGTAATGTAACCATAACTATATGCAAAATGTCCGAAGGTATAAAATACGTGAATTTTGACTCTACAATTATTATTACTTGGATTCGTGTGTGCGAAAATAAAGAACCTTATTTTTACAGGACCGAGTAGTTAACATGGTGTCAGGATTTAACAAACCCAGCCAAGACTAACGTCAACAGCGATCACCGCCAGCTTTTCGAAACATCAACTTTCTCAATCTACAATGGCTGAATTGGAGCATTTACCAGCGCCGAAAGGAAACTTTACTCCGGGACCCGAATGTTACCAAAAGTGCTTGGATTGGGTCAATGGCTGTCATCGAGAGAAAGTTGTCAAAAAGTTATTCTAATAACTTAAAAGTAGTATATCTGAAGTATCCGCAATAATCTCATGTAAACAATCAACTTCCAAAAAAAAAAAATCTTAATTTAAGTCAGTGAAAAAACAATTTAATAGAATAATTCAACAAATCTTATCAGTCATTGTAACCAAGGAGCTAAGCTCAATCCCATTTTTGAAATGGTATATTTCCAGAAGAATAGATATGAAATTGCGTGTACAGAAATGGATTAAGATGCCCGTCGAGATCGCCGAAAAGAAAAAATAGGGTTGAGGCTAGATTTCTGGCCTTCAATTTTACGGGTAATAGTTAAGACCCTCTCACTAATCTACTGGTAAATTACAGGAGCCTTTTGGACAGTGGGTCGTGATCCCCGCTAAAACGAAATGAGTTACAAGTCATTCATGGGCAATCAAAACGCTAATTCTTCATGATAAAATTTCGATCAGCGGAGTCCAATGGCAGTAGAGTTATAGCCAAACTGCTTCCACCGGTCGCTTGAAGTGTAGCAGCCACAGCCCCCAAACAGTAGCTCTATCAAGAAGAAAAAGTCATTTGGCATTTT